CGGATACGGTACGAATACGTCTTCATTGTGTTCATTAGCGTCGTTGGGGGAGCCCGCTCGACTCGACCACACCTGCCCCGCGGATATGTCCGGCATTCGGCAAAAAGTTCAGGAATTAAACGGCGAAACTTGTGCATTTGTTACCGCCAATGTTGTGCCGTTTGAGATTGTCTTTTTGTCGAATGTCTTGAATTTATTTTGACGACGGCAACGTTAGATCGACAATGGTTTATAACTATTTTGTACATGCATCTACTTGAGAAGGATGTGAGTTAAGTTAACCGAAAGTTAACTCGTCGGATTCGAAAGTTACATGTTTGACGTTATGAGTCAATGAGTCAATGTATTTTAACAAACAGTCACGGTACACGAAAACCGTTAAAATTATTTCAATTAACTATACACATGAACAGCTACTCTTCTTATCCTCTCTTCTCTATCTTCCGTCCTTATCCTACCTAGGTGGGGTTGGACAACATGTTATTTATGTTGGTATTGACTAGGTTTCTTATAACCAGCCGCCTGCTTAACATCTAGCTCCTTTGGCAACCAACACTCAGATCCGAAACTATTATAATATGTGGATCCCATAAAGAAATGCCCCATGTGGGAATCAAACCTACGGCCTTCGGCGCCGAAGTCAATATCTTATTGAACAAAATATCGGAGAGCGTAACAATTAGAGGCGACGTTACGGCAATCTGCGGAATTACAGGACACGCGTCCATTATCATCTCTCACGGCTTTCGAGAAGCGTCGTTTAAATACTCGGAAACACAATGCTATCAGATCTGGACCGTTACACCGAGCTATTACGCTATTAAGAACCCTAATTACGGATCAAACGCCGCAACCACAAAAGCTTCATCTCGCAATGCGTTTTCGACTTTTGTGTCGTTAATTCACGGTGTGGGAGCGGTCGTTTAGTGGTTTCCATTTATATTTGGTGGGTTCCGCATTATGCTATTAGCACTATTAAAAAACAAAAAACTCTACAAAAAATTTGATGTATATTTGGAGCTGTTAAAATTTTCGTGCCTCGTGTTAAGTAGTGCTATTTATATTACTTATATGACTTTTCATTTCCGTAAATGTTTTTGAAACGATAAATTAAGGAAGATAGACTATTATTTATTGTGGTATGTGAAAGGATATATTTTCATAATTAACTTATAAGGAGCCTCATTTTTGCAATGTATTTTGTCAATGATATATCTATTAATTACATAAATAAATCGACATGCCTAGTGCACGTAACTTTAGCTTGAAATCAAATTTTGTCAAAAATCCTTTTTAATCATAGAGAGTGTAGATAGATTGAATGTGTATTCTAGTTAATTATGGAGGTCAAGGAGCATCTTGACAGTAATTTTTCATTAGTTATAGTATTTGTCTCTAATTTTGCATTGTATTGATCGAGTACTGAGGTATAAGAGTCGTAGATACAATCCGATACTTAAATTATAATATCTTTAGTTTCCAAAGAAGAATGTTAAAGGTACGTTTTCAAAAGAAATCATTATTTGTAATTAGTTTTATGTAACTACACTCTCAAAATTACATTGTTTCAAGAAAACTTACTTGAAACAATATAATGTTATCAACGGCCAGCTCCTGCGGTACCTAGAGGAGCACCGGCTGATTAGCGACCGCTAGTATGGCTTTCGTCGGGGTCGCTCAGCCGGTGATCTTCTGGTCTACCTTACACATCGATGGGCAGAAGCAGTTGAGAGCAAGGGGGAGGCGCTTGCAGCCAGTCTGGACATAGCGAAGGCCTTTGATCGGGTATGGCACAAAGCGCTTCTTTCAAAGCTGCCTTCCTATGGGCTTCCCGAGAAATTATGCAATTGGATCACCAACTTTTTGGCAGATCGGAGCATCAAGGTCGTCGTCGACGGTGCATGCTCCGATCATAAATTTGTCAATGCCGGTGTTCCACAAGGCTGCGTACTGTCTCCTACTCTGTTTCTTCTGCATATCAATGACATGTTGCAAATCAGCAACGTCCATTGTTATGCAGACGATAGCACTGTGGATGTCTCGTACACTGGCCGAGCTAACATTTCTCGGGAAAACGTCTACGAGAGTCGGAACAAGCTTGTGTCTGAGGTCGAGACTTTGTTAACCAAAGTCTCAGACTGGGGTCGACTAAACCTAGTCCAATTCAACCACAAAAAGACACAAGTTTGCGCGTTAACCGCCCTACCTGCCACAGCTAGTATCGGAATGCTAGGCGTCGAAATCTCGAGCAACGTCCAGTTCCGTGGTCAATTGGAAGGTAAGGCCAAATTGGCCTCAAAGAAGCTTGGTGTGCTCAGCAAGGCGAGACGGTACTTCACGGCAGCCCAACGCCTAAACCTCTATAAGGCGCAAATTCGACCCCACATGGAGTACTGTTCTCACCTCTGGGCGGGAGCCCCCTATTACCAGCTTCTTCCATTTGACCGCATTCAACGTAGGGCGGCTAGGGTTATCGACGATCAAAGTCTTTCCGATCGGCTTGATCCTCTGGCTCTGCGTAGAGATGTTGGATCACTCTGCATCTTCTACCGCATTTATCACGGGGAGTGTTCTGAGGAATTGTTTGGATTGATCCTGGCGGCTGAATTCCACCATCGGACATCGCGCCAGAACCAAAAATTTCATCCACACCACCTCGATGTCCAACGTTCCACAACAGCGCGATTTTTAAGGCATTTCTTGCTTCGCACAACCACTCTGTGGAACCAACTGCCGCCGGCGGTCTTTCCGAACCGTTACGACCTGGGAACCTTCAAAAAGAGAGCGTACTCTTTCTTAAAAGGCCGGCAACGCATTTGTGAGCCCTCGGGTGTTGCAGGTGTTCATGGGCGGCGGTAATCACTTACCATCAGGTGAGCCTCCTGCTCGTTTGCCCCTTTTCTCCATAAAAAAAAATATCATTTTAAGGGAGAAAATTTGTAAAAAGTTTGCCTCAGATGTAAAACCTATTGTCATAATTTAATATTTCGCGTAGAAGTAGGAACAAGTAAAAGAAAATTAAATGAACACAAAAACCGTGAACAATGTTGGTTAAAATTTATTTGTAAATAAGTATTTACAATCAATTATCTCAATATTTATAAATCGAGCCGTTTTTTTTTTTTTGTTTTTTTTATGCGTTGCATTTGCCATGTAGTGCCACAGCCAAAAATTTATGATAATAATTAATCGGACCCATAGTATTTAAATTACAGTAAGTTATACTCTCTTTTAACAGTTTTTTTTATGCGAAAAGTTGTCTAACGAGCAGATGGTTCACCTGATTTTAAGTGAATACCGCCGCCCATGGAGATCTGCCACACCCGAGGATTACAGATCCGTTGAAAACCTTTTGAAAATTGGGCTCCGGCTACCTCACTCACCAGACGAAACGCGAAAGTATTTGTCATACTTCCACTTTACGCTGGACTTCTGTTAGGTCGTGGTACTTACCCGGACGGGCCTGCCCATTCGTGCAACAGCCAAGGCTGCTGCGTGGCCCTACCACCGTAAACACCGTCTTTTTACATACACATATATAAGCATCTTTTAGATTTACGCATTACGTATCTTATTAAAAGTTTGGACCTACATGACCAGAACATCGATTATGCTCTATACTGAATAAATTAAAAAGAGATTATCGTAGTAAATAACTAAACGACTATCGATACGAAAAGGAAATTGTTCTATAATTCAATTTTAATAAATATTTTTTTTAAATAAATCAAATTTATATAAGTATACTTTTGATTTTAACTTATGCAATACTTAAAATTGAATGAAAACCGCACAATTTATAATAAGCATCGTTTCTTTACTTAAAAACTGATTATCCGCTTCATGTATGCAATCAAGCTGAGTATTACGTGCAACCTAGCCGTTTAAGGAACATTTAGGTATAAAAAATATTGTATTTTATTCGAGTTTTATCCCTTTCAGTGCAAACAATGAATACCACAAGCGCATCTGTAGTTTTATTGTTATCCTACGGTACTGTACATCGTCGGTTCATACCTTGGCGTATTTCATCAACGACGGTATTGTTAACTTAATTATTACCGCAACGGTATCGGGATTTTCTCAGTATTATAGTCTGTTGTTATTGTTCGCGAAATCAAGAACGTTTCAAACGAAAGCATTGCCAAAGATGAAGTGCAATATAACATGGCTGGGAAATATTTCTTAAAAATTTATATAATTCAAATATAGAGATGGGTATAGTTGAGATTGTTTTGTTAGGTAAAAATTTTGGAGGCATATATGAAATCATTTATCATTTTAATCATTTTTTTCAGGGTGTCAGAAGAACCGAGATATTATTAATTTATTTCGTTATTATTACTGTACTAGATTCAAGCGTTAGCTTCTACTGGCTGAAAGGGGTTTGTGCATTTCCTCTGATGAATGTGGTGATAGAGAGTCCACTCTGGTGTTGCCGATGCAGCTTGCAGTGTTGCACGAATGGGCAGGCTCATCGAGGGAAGTACCATAATCTTGCAGAAGACCGGCGTGAAGTGGAAGTTTTATGCTTTCGCGTCTGGTGAATGGGGTGACCAGTGCCCACTTTTTTAGTTAATAACTAAATAATAGTTGGCAACTCATCTGAAATCCTTCGGCAGTGGTTATCACTAAACGTAAAAAAAAACATAGAAAACGGTAATCAATTGCAATAACATATAACACGAGAGTAATTTTGAAACATTAGTTTGTGGAACAACGTATATGTAAGGTGATATTGTGAATAAAGTTGCCGAAAGCATTTTTATGATAATGGATTCGAGTATAAATCGAAATTGTTTCAGTTGCGGGTGTACACCAAACATCGGAAGGAAATCTTTAGAAGTTTTATGTCAATATCTCACGTATATAATTGGACACCGCCCCTCTTGCAGCGCGGAGATTATGCCCTTGTTTAACAAAACAAAACTTTACAATGGCGTTTTATCGCGGACGGCGTACATGTTCTGCATTCGCGGGCCGTATGTGCTTTAAATCTAAGCACGGCCATAAACGTAGTTGGCCGTCCATTTTCGCGCTATCGCGACTACAGCCCGTGGACACGCGGCGGCCGCAGCGCCCCGGCTCCAGAAGGTCCCAAGTGCCTCGGACCATTTCCAAAACAGTCTTTCTGTCGTTAGAACAAGATTGAAATTACTTTAATTCGGGCGACTGGGTGAAAAGATTTGTAAGACAAGAAGCGTATTAGCATAACGATCCGCGCGCGACTTAACGCAACATGCTTGTTCACGCTGCCCCCCGAGTTGGCTGCAATTTCCACAGCGGGGCGTTACGTGGAAAGCGACGCGCGTAGAAATCAACGCGGCACCTATTTAGTTTAAATTCTACTTAGTATTATGTACAACGCGCTTTCATAGATTACTGCCGCTAAGTTATAGTGAATGCAGTGTTATATCGTTTTAATGAAAACGTAACGGAACGACTGCGATGATGTAAACTCAATTTTTCTTGAAAATAATCCGTTGTTAATCACTTTTAACGAAAACATATGAATAAATATATGAATTTATTTTTATATTTATTTTATTTACAGTTTATTTTTGTAACGTAACTAAAATTTACAAATGAATGTTACATATTGCTGATTTGTATGTGATAGTTAATTAATTTAAATAAATGCTATTCGACGATTCCAAAACTTTTTGAGCACTGATTTTTTTTGTTATTATTGAATAACTATACTTCGTTCGAATAAAAGTTAAAAATATTGATATTTTCATGGTCCAAACTTCTCATGAAAAGTTATCTATATGAAAAGTTAATAAATAAATATTTTTGCAGGTTTCTGCAAAATCTGCAAAAATATTTATTTCTATATAAATAGTTGTTTTGAATTAAAATGTGAAGTAAACATTGGGCGAGGAAAATTCCCGACTTTTCTATGGAAAACTTACACACTACACACACACTTGCAACACTTATTTATACTTGTGTAACGTTAAAAAATGTTTAGGTATAGAAAGAATGTGTGTTGTAAGTTTGTGGAGGGTAATCACCAGAAAGCACCTATTTGAAAATGTCTTTCACTATTTCCAAGGATTATTGCAGGTTAATATTGTTTTTGATATACATATACCCGTGTTTGATATACATATACATATATACATGTATATTGTAAAAAAGTTCACCTTGCAAGAGAAAAAAAAACGTCTTACGTCCTTTAGCTTAAAATGCCGCACGAGTTTCCCCCCCTCGTTATATCACAACACCCCACAAATACACACGTCAACCTCGAGTCGCGGCCGGCAATACTCGCTTTTCGCGTGAATCCAATTTGTGCGGGCCGTACGAAAGGGCGATTCGTGGCCCGGTGTAATTATTCACGTGTTATGACATCCCATTTGCATATAATCGCCGAGGCAGCCCCCGATGCGTGAGGCAACTCCGGGCCCGTAGGCCATTCACACGAACGGCGGCTATCTTGATCGCCGGGCGACCTATGAAACGCGGCCGCTAATTAAAAAATAAACTGCCCAAGATGTCGAATGAATAATTCACGCGGGCGGCCGGAAGAGTTTCACTCGTCCGCGATCGTCGGCCGTTTCGAAACGCGGACGCGGGCAATTAGTTAGAGATTCACGTTAGATACGGGGGCGAGCTTAATCTCTGAATGAGAATAGCCGCCTCGTTCGTATAGTACGCGAGTGCAAGTAAACGTATAATGGACGTTATTCACAATTAAGCTGAATACGACTTCGAACGCTTATTCGAAAGAAAATTTGAGCTGTGTTAAAAGATACGGTTGTAGTAATTAATAAACAAACGTGAAATGATGATGCTATTTAATAATAGATATACTATATCAATCGATATATGTACATCAATTAAATATTTTATTTTGATTTACAGAGTCGGCGATAAATGACACTACTGATTTGGTCATTCGCATTATGAAGGTTGAGACGAAAAAGGAAAATCGCTGGTTACACGCCACACATATTAGCTTTCTTTTTGCTGATAGTCTCATGGTGGACATACTTAACAATAAAGATAGACTTCGATTGGTATAATGAAATTGTAAAAATTGATGTCCTATCCCGAGATGATAAGAGAGTGACCTACCAGCAATTTCGGACAAGCATTGGTGCTACTCAAGTACAAAAATATTACAGGACCATTTATGCGTCTGGAAGCTTTGTACCCGACGAATTCCTTATACTTTGACCTAAGACCCGAAGTGTCGCGAAATATTACAAAAGTTTAACTGTGGTGATTTTATTTCTGTTATTGAGATCATCCTAAGCGATGAAACCAAAAGACGATCTGCTCAGAGGGTATTTCCTTTTGAAGATCGGCCAACTATGATGATGGAAGGACAATTACTGCAGACTGGTTTGTTAGCTGTTGTTTGCCTGTTGTATTGAAAAACTTTCGACAGCGTCCTTGACGTACGATCCTCCTTCACCACAACAACGCTTCTGCTCACTCCGCGAAAAGAACAATTCAATATTCGGCTATGGGAGGTGTTGAGATAATGAGGCATCCGCCATATAGTCTCGACCTGTCACCCTGCGACTTTCATTTATTCCGAAGAATTAAAGATGGTTTTAAACTTCGAGGTATTCACTTTACGAGCCCTAAGATGTATACAAGGGAACGGACACTACTTCAAACAACAATAAAAGTATTGGCAACTTTCTATATTGAGCTGTTTTATAATTTTCTAAGAACTTTCAGTGTGACCCACGTATACGTGAAAAAATTGTACGATCGTCAAGGGAATAGCGCGTTTTTCGATGTACCTGATTTCCACTGTTTCAGCTGGAAAGCTTGAGACACGCACACACGCATGCGGGTATTATTGCACGCGGATTTGAATTTGCATGAGCTGCACATTCGCTGCATATCTATGCATATCTCTGTTGCGAAACCCATTGTGGCTAGTGCAGGCCGCGGAGCGAGCAAAATCGCCCCCTGCCTTTGCGAAACTGCACCGATAGAAGAGATGTTACAATTTATTCCCGTTGGGTCGTCTTCATTGTGACTTACCGGTTAAATAATTTTCAACAATCACAAATTATAGGGAAGGTGTAAAGGATACTTTGAAAATCGCAAACGCTAACACAAAGCGCTTAAAAATGTAATTATTTCTTCTATTTATTGTCTGTCATAAATCATTTTCTAAACTCCGTTATTGATATTTTTATAATAATTTCTAATGCTAAGATTTAAAATGAAAATAAAACATATAAAATAAAAAATCAATATTAATATAATGTTTCTACAACTTTTTTTTGCCGTAGGAGGTATTGTAGGTTTGAATATATATAACGACTCAAACAGTACCTTTAAAGTTAGTATCCAGTAAAATTTAATAAGCTTATTCTTACAATTGACTATAAAATGGCTGAAGCTTAATTTTTGATAATTAGTATGAAATGGAAATAAACACAGGTTTTTTGTAGCGCATTGCCCTAAATATTCAGTTTGATCATAGTTTCAGTTACAAAAATATCTTGATTCTCGATTGCTTACGATTCATTTTATTTTGCGCACTGTAGCATTTTGCATCTGTGCATTAGCTGTTTTCAAAAGTACACCCAGTACGTATTTATGCGTACGTAAATACCGTTTGCGAGTGGAAACCGTATGTGAAAAGACGATTAAGAACAGTTGTAAGTAGCCTTTGTTTGATCCCGCATCTGATAGGAGAACTATTGTGTCCGTATAACTGTAGACTTTCGACGATGGATGAACTGTTAATTAGGCACGTATCAATTGTTACAAGATTTAAAAGTAAAGTAACAGCCTATAAATTTCCCACTGCTGGGCAAAGGCCTCCTCTGTAAAGAGGGTATCAGGGCATAGTCCACCACGCGATCCCACGGCGGATTGACGGACTTCACATATTTTCGAAACATTTTTTTGTCATTATTCCTTACGATGTTTTCCTTCACCGCTGAGCCGTGATAATTCAGCACTAAAAATTCACATTTTCATTGGTGTTGGTATCGGGTCTCGAACTCGGTAAATTGAATAAAGGGTGATGGCCCGGACACTGAGCTATCACGGCTCTTCCAGATTTATTTCAAATTATTATATGATAATGTAATATATATCATATTTGCTTGCAGTTAGAATAAGATATGGGTTTCGATAACTTAATTTGTTGCTATCATAAAAATTGTTGTATTCAAAAAGTGCTTCACCACGATTTATCCCAACCTTCGATAATTGTTTCAAATAGACGAATTAAGGAATGTTTGTGTAATATTCGCTTTAATACCAGAAATCTTTATTTCCCAATAGTGTGTATAAAATTTACATAATAGCGTAAATTAATAACAACGTATTATCGTCAAGACTTCATCTTTCAATTTTATTAACTTTGCTTATATCATATTTAATCTTACAGATCGTGTTTTCTTATTTATATCGTTATAAACATATCGACCACCTATCTTAGCAGCGACAGCGTTTAGGCGTATAGCCAAGAAGGCTGAACTAGCGGCTATAATTCTTGGCAGCGGCAAAATTATTTTTCTACAATTGATCCATACATTTATATTTCATCTAAGGCACATAAATAGATAATTAAAAGAGTAACTTGTTGTTTTTATCTAAATCAGTGTATTCTATCAATGTGTGTACCTATTGTGTACTCTGTACAGCTTCTGTACATTTAACAAAAGTAGACCGTTACACATCATGTTTTTGAGTTTGCCACAGCTTAATACTTTAGCCATTGTTGGCTTTCGGTTCTCACCACTATTTAATTATCTAACTACCATTTCGTAATTACAAGTTACTAAATGAATTGAAAGGATAATGAGAGGCTATCTAACGTCATTCGTAAATTACGCATAATGGTGAATAATCTAAAATCGAAGTAAGCTCTGTTGAGGTACGGTATTTATTAATATTTAATGATTGGTAGCGTACGTCTTCGACTTCCTTAGAAAAAAATTCTTTACGAATTTAAAATTTCTATTTCTTAACAATTAAAACTCATTTTTTTAAGTAATTCAATAAAAATCAGTAAAATATATTTATAGAGATAAGTAGCCATAAATATTGAAATTGCATAAAAATCATTAAAACATTACGACTAAAATAACTATGTCTTTGCGTTTTTTTATACGTATCGAAATTATTTTTTTTATAACTACTCGTAGATTTTAGATCGTATGTTAAAATTCAATTTTATGCGCTTGTGGTTTACTTTTTTATTACTAAGTTACAACACGAATAATAATTATTGAACGACAATTGATTTCCGTTATAAAATTTTACTACATCCAAATTGGCTTAGTCTGTGAGCGGTAACCGCCCTAATGGGGTCCTTTGGACTATATAATCTCGTATTTACATAGTGGGCCGGCGGCGTCAGTTGCGCGGCTTTTTTGCCCGGTAATGTATGTAAATGGGAAACAATTAGGCGAGTTAAAACACGGGGTAGGCAGTCTAGGCAAGTGCGCCTCGCGCCCCTTCCTTCCAAACGCCATATGTTGGTGGGCGGGCGGCTAGCGGTGGGTCCGACTACAGGATGATCTTTTTCCGCTGCTTTATAAATTTATAAAGTAATATCGAATATTTTATACCCGCTGAAATGAACATACAATTATGTTGAACATAATGAACTAATAATTCCGTGATATAACATAGTTGTAACCCCCCAGGCCGATATTCATAATTTTAATGCAATAAAAAAGTATTTGTCGCAGAGAGAATAATGATATTTTTTTTAATGAAATGTTTGCATATAATTAAAAAATAATTTAGACCAGCAAAACCCCGTGCGGCTTACACTGGGATGTGATTATTCAACATAAGTAGAATTAAAAATTCATCGCCGGGCTTAAACTCAATGTTTGGTAATTAATTTAATTAATTAAAATTATAGCAGAATGAAGTGTAAAACTTATTAAAGGTGGTATTTTGTAGGAAGGCGGAATATTTGTAGCAATAACTCCTTGTTTGAATTTGTCCTTTTAGACCACCGCTACCCTACATAATTATGCAGTGTTGTCTATACATTGTACAGATTTTCAAGAGTAGAGAAAAGAAAGGGTGTGATTTTCTGTATGGAGAATTCACATGCGCTCGTGCTGTCCCGGTGGCGGTTCCTAAGCTGTTGCTTTCTGCGCCGGGGGTCGTGGATCCGATTCCCACACGGGACAAGAATTAATGTGACCCAGAGATAAAATTGTTCCGGATGTAGTGTTTCTTACCGAGGGGGGTTGAAGTTAAGCCGGTTCGTCGTAAAAAAATAACTATACTCATTAACAATTTGATTCCTATTTTGTGATAGCCCTACCTAAGTGGGATAAGGAGAGAAGAACGAAGAAGATCAAATTGAAATCTTCTCCTTCTTATATTTTTTTTACTTCGGCTAACTTGGGCTGGGTTCCGCTTTAATATTACCACTTATGTGCGGTGAGGGAGAGATATCCTCCAGACGAAGACTCTAAAAGCGGAATAAAGCTGTGTGGTCTCTCTTTAGTAGGATCAAAAATGTCTTCAATCATCTGTGCTTACTTAGGCAATATTATCTATGTACGTTAGGAATCAGATATAATCTTTAGTTAGAGTATAATAGATCACTCTGTAATTGTTAATGAGTTACTATGATAAACCTTGATTCCGAATCGCCTGGATTAACTTCTGATACTCAAATACACGCCACACAGGCTGTAGTTGGCGTGTTATATTGTGTTGAGATTGCATGGGTATGTAGCAAGAAAAATGGAAAAATAGGTGAACGTTTGCACGAAGCGACCTCAATAATAACGTAGGTAAAAATGTCCTTTAATTAAAACTGAAGGTAGCGTCTTAGTAAAGTAATTATGAATGCCGTCTATTTGTTGTATGCCAACCGAAAGCAACATTAAGTTTCAACTTTTCACTTATTTGCATAAATAGGCACATGCTTTTTTTTAAGTAAGTAAATCATAAGAGCTTTTTCGAGATTAAACCTTTTAAACACTTTTTAATTATGCCTCGCGATTATAAGTAACCTATGGACAATGAAAGTTTTAGTAGTAAGTAATGACGATGCAATGACCTGATATTTTTATTTTATTAGATTATTAGATTATTTATAATGGTAAGGTGGCAAATGAGCTGACAGTTCATGGACATTTGCAACACCCGTAGGGTTGTATATGCGTTGCCAGCTTTTAATAAAGTTGGCCCGGCTACCTCTCTCATCAGACGAACATCAGAAGTATGACACTTCCACTCCACGACGGCCGTGAGGTCGTGGTACTTACCCGAACTGACCTGCCCATACTTGTGAACAACCAAATCTGTTGCGTGGCCCTACCGCAGATATCGTGAATTTTTATATTTAATTTAAAGCAAGTTATATTATGTATGTATGATTGCAACTCAGAAAAAGAATGGATTATGAATCTTATTCATTCATACGAATTGAATTAATTATGTGTGTCTTTTTGTCAATTACAAGTGTATGCCAGTACAGCTTTCATTAAAACCAGCTTTAGTTTATTTTCAAATAGAATTTAATTTAATGGTTCTAAAATCATCATCATCATCCTCCTGCCCTTATTCCATCTAGGTGGGTTTGGCACAACATCATAATCTTATTGTAAGCGGTTATGATTTTTACAACGGGCCGCCAGCCTGATGTGAAACCTCGTCGGAAATATACAAGTAGATCCGGAACAACCGAAAAATTGGTTCTAAATTTTTTTTCTCTAAAAGTTTGTTAAGTTATATAAATTTGATGTGATAACTTACGATTTCAAAAGGTGAAAAAAAATTAAGAAATAAATCTTAAAATCAATAGGTCAAAGATATAATAAATAAAACTGTTTTCTCAAACAAGTCTTAATTTGCTAATGAATAAACATTTTAAAAAGATTTAAATTATATTTATTATGGCATCTATTTCTTAAATCAATCTTCGCTCC